GTCTAACTGGTTTTGCATGATGCAATTTCTACAGATTACTTTTTCTAGAAAATCCACTTTTTATAAAATAAAGAAAATGGGAAGGGAAACACGCTCCAAATGCAAGCAAATATCTAGCAGTTATCCAATTGTATCATTACCCTTTATTCATTTACGTAGTCTGTATGAAATGATTCACCAGGAATTATTTATTCCCTTCATAATTATACAAATATAACAATATTATTTTATATCAAAATAACTTACCAAGTACGCTGGGATAAGTCATGATTCATACTATCTTATTTCGATGCTTGTCACGGCGTTAGAGTCAGGATACAGCTCGCAAGACCGCTATTTTACCACTTTTTTAAAATTTGAAATCATAGGATTCCTCGGCCTGAGTCATGTGCATGATCTTGGCTGTCCCGGTACCGCCGCGTCGAAGATTGTTGCCGACGTTTCGACCATCTTGTCGTGGTCTTTCCATGTTCATACCATTAGATGTATGGGCATACCAGCCTTGAGGAACACCATGACAAAATGGTCGAAACGTCGCCAAAACAGCCTTCGACGCGACGTCACCCGGACAGCCAATATAATGCATTTTTTAAAATTTGTCCGAAAGTACGAAAACATTTTTAAAATTAGCTTCGGCTATTTTACTTGGGAAAAGAGATTCACCAGATGAACTCTTTAAAGCAATAAACGTCGTTTGAGATCAAAAATCGAGTTGTAGCATAAAAGAACTCGTGCGTATACTCCGCTCATTTTTTACGGTATTTGACAACAAGATCTTAGACCAAGGTGGAGTGATAACAGAAGACCTTAGAAGTAAAATATAACTAAAATAAGATGTGAGGAGATGGAATAATGCGGATATTTACACAATTAGTTTATTTTTTTTAAATAGTTAAAAATCGGATTCTATATTTTGAGTAATGCATCAAAAAATTTTAAAATGGTATTCGAAGGAAGACGGATATATGTGAAAAAGATAGTTATGTACTACTATTACAGACCGTTTACCTCGGTCTGTAATAGTAGTATAGAATCTCTAGTTTGATATCCGTGGAAAAATAGATTGAGATGCAAAGTGACGAACGCATAAACCGAGTGTGTGGTTTGCGTGTCCGGCAAGTACCGCCTCCTCCGTCGGGGCTGGCCGCACGACGCCGGGTCTGGCTGTTCCACCGCGCTGACAGAGGACCCACAGCGGGCGCGTGGGTGACGCAACGGAGCAGAAGGGGAAGTGGGGGGAGGAGGTGTTTTCGTAAATTTCACCTTACGTCACTTTCACGACGCTCCTTTTTGCCCGATTTGCATGATTGTCACGGCGTTGGATTCAGGAAGCATGCCGCCATCGCGCTATAAGGCCACATTTTTAAATTTGTTCTTGGAAGTTTGAGAACTAATTTCAAATTCGCGTTTTTGCTAGATTTTTGGTAAAAGGTCATCGTAGCGTAAATTCTATTTTAAAAAGGCGTCAAATGCCGTTTACAAATCGAAAATCGGACCATTGATTGAGACGTTATCAGTAAAGTAAATTCCCCTGTGATAGTGCTGCGATCTATTGAATTTTCTTACAAGTATTTTTCGGTGCATTTACGCTTAAGGCGTGCGCTCACTTGTCGCGGTCGTGGGCGAGCGCGCGCACGGCGTCGTGGATGTGGTGGTGGGCGGAGGAGGGCACGAGGCGGCCCAGCAGCTCCAGCTGCTGCTCGGCCGGCAGCGGGCGCAGCGACAGCGAGCAGCACGCGCCCAGCGCCGCGTCCAGGCGCGCGCGCGCAGACGGCCGCGTCGCCACCCACACGGCGCAGCGCGGCCGCGCGCGCAGCGCCCGCAGCACCTCCAGCGCCGCCGACGCGTAGTCCGGGCACACCTGCGCACCAGCCAATTCGCTCAGTCATTCCCTCCTTCACCCATTCAGTTGGAGCACAGTCCGGGCACACCTGCGCACAAGCCAATTCGCTCAGTCATTCCCTCGTTCGCTCATTCAGTTGGAGCATAGTCCGGGCACACCTGCGCACCAGCCAATTCGCTCAGTCATTCCTTCGTTCGCTCATTCAGTTGAAGCACAGTCCGGGCACACCTGCACACCAGCCAATTCGCCCAGTCATTCCTTCGTTCACTCATTCAGTTCAAGGACAGTCCGGGCACATCTGCGCACCAGACAATTCGCTCAGTCATTCCCTCGTTCGCTCATTCAGTTGAAGCACAGTCCGGGCACACCTGCGCACCAGCTAATTTACTCAGGCTTGTACAAGCACATTAATTGCGTTAATTCAACTAGTCTTTCTTTTGTTCACTCATTAATTTACTTCTTCGTCCGAGTACAACTGATTCATTTAACACGCATTCGCGCATGCGCTATTTTTTGTTCACTTCTATTCAGTCAGTCAGTTATTCATTTGATACGTTGTTTCGACTCACTTGCACATGTACACAAGAAAACGCATGCTCACTTAGTCATTCCTTACGTCACTCGGTCGACACACGTCACATAATTCAGATACATTCACGCACGCACCAACTTCGTTCGTTCGTTCGTTCGTTCGTTCGTCCGTTCGTTCGTTCGTTCGTTCATTCATTCATTCATTCCGTATGTTATTCATTAGGCGCCTAGGTAGGCACAACTGGGTACATGCTCACTCATTTATCATGCATTCGTTCGCCCATTTATTCAGTTCTTATTCGACACGAATTGCGGGTACGGACGATGATTCACTGTTCTATTTCCTCATTCTTACGAGTTTCAATTTATTATTTTGAAACGAAGAAGAGCCATGCTTATCCTTCTTTAATCGTTCACTTAGTCTTTCTCATATGTACACACCTGCATAAGCGTGCGGAACTCTCATTGGTCGTCTGTTCGGGACACATCTGCAGGAAAACTGTCGATGATTCCATCATTCGTTTTCTCATACATTAATTCATAACTAGGTGCACTCATTAATGGGTTGTGATCTTTCGAGAACGTGAGTTATTGCTATATTTATCTTGATTGGCAATGGCATTATTATTGTAAGAATATGTGATTTGGTAATTAGTGATACAAGTAATAAATAATAATTAACACATTGATAAGAGGGACTAGGAAAGATGGCTCAGGGCATCAACTGATGTCACTGCAGTGCCTCCGACCGGGAGATCCTAGGTTTCCATTAAAGACGGTGGCAGGACTTTCGACACTAGCTAGATAACTAGGTCGAATTCAGCAGCTTACTGGAGGATAATTCTGGCGGTCGGCTGCTCTTACCGGTAGTTATTCTTGTTTTTTACGATCAACACCAGGCGAATGCTGTAGCAGTACCCTAACAAACGGGCCATGGACTGCGCACTTCTTACCTTACTCTTCCTTGTCTTATCCTCACACCTTACACCACTTACACGCCCTACACTGCCACACATGGCGGGAGACCGGTCGAAAGCTTAGGGCTTTGAGAGTGCCCTCTAATAGGAGGTACCTGTTTTGGGAAAACCCTGCTAGCCGACGGTTGGTCGGCGGCGGATCCCGCAATCCAGCGAGGGAAGATAACCGCAACCTCCCGAGGGGAAGACGTACACTTACGGGACGATTGACCATAGGGGTTGATGCTCCCAGACTCAATAATTTGATGTGAGGGTTGGTGAGACGTACCTCGTCGAAGGCGTCGACGAGCGCGAGCATGGGCGCGGTGCGGCACAGCGCGTGGGCGAAGCGCGCGCAGCGGGCGTCCGCCGCCGCCGTGCGCGGGCCCTGCGCGCCGTCGCAGCGCCTCCCGCCGCGCCCGCCGCAGCCCGCCGTCCCGGCGCCGCCGCCAGGCACGCAGAGCGCCCAGCAGCGCGGAAGAGCGCGCCGGCGCAGCGCCGGCGCCGGCCGCAGGAACGCCGTCTTGCCCGCGCCGGGCCCCGCCTCCAGCACCAGCGCCGGCGCCGGCCCCGCCGCGCCGCCGCCCTCCGACGCCTCCTGCGGGACAACGCGCTTCGTTCACAACGGTACGTATTGGAACAAAAACAGATTTCAAGCTTTTGGCGGATATACACATTTTGGGACACCTGAAAAATTACCTTTTTCAAAACATATGTCCGTCCGTCCGTCTGCCCGTCCGTCCGTCTGCCCTTCTGCCCGTCTTTCCGTCTGCCCGTCTGTCTGCCCGTTCGTCAGTCTGTCCGTCTGCCCGTCCGTCAGTCCGCCCGTCCGTCAGTCTGCCCGTCCGTCGTCTGTCCGTCTGACCGTCCATCAGTCTGTCCGTCTGCCCGTCCGTCAGTCTGTCCGTCTGCCCGTCCGTCCGTCTGGCCGTCTTTCCATGTGTCTGTCTGCCCGTCCGTCCGTCTGGTCGTCCGTCTATTCGGCCACCTGCCTTTCCAATCTGTCCGAGTGTCCGTCTGACATAGTCACTAAAAAGAGTATTGTACGAATTGATACAATGATGGCAAAAGGCAAATGAGACTGTAAATGTGACTGAATAAAATCCCCTAAAGTCCATAAACACCTATTTTAAAAACGCCTATTTTGTTTACTTTCATTATGGTTCTAATTAAACTTATAAAAATGTATTAAATTTTAACCGAAGAATTATGTGATTTAAACTCTACTTTCCTTATATTATAGCAACAAAAATAAATAGACTTTAAGCATTTTCTATTAGGCGGAATGACAAGAACAACTAGAGGTGCTAAACAGCACGTACTTTCTCGTCCTAATTTCAAGCACAATTACGCGGAAATGGCCCAAATTTTCGAAAAATTAAACAAGATCTTATTTCAAAATCTATCTTTAAGAAACAGATTTAATTAAGGAGGAAAATCTCTATCTTCATCATTGTAGTTGTAGGAAGACGCCAAAAAAAATCAGTTTTGATCGACAACGAGACCTTCACCATCCTCTCGAATGCTCTTCACACAATTCAACAACAAATTTAATGAAAAACGATGGAACCGTTTTTTTTATGAAAATGTCCTAGGGAATTCATGAAATGTTAAAATATTGGTTTCAAATTCAAGGGGACGCGACATCAGATCGATTGGGGAATATCAATTTTGGAGAAAATCGATTGAACGGTTTAGGCGCTAGCGTTGTTCACACACAAAGACGGATAGACGTTTAGCTGTCAATACGCTTTTCGGTATCAAGGACCCACAAATCATGGATTATGACTGCACAGCGTGCTAGAGGAAGTCATTTTCCATATACAATATTTGTACACTAATTCGTTACCAGGCAATAAGAGTTTTTGTGTCGAAAATTCTCCGTTTTCTCTGGCAGCAATACAGTACTTTCTCTACTGCAAGAAGTAGAGAAAACATAATAAATGAAAATTTTTAATTAACATTATTGTAATATATTGCAAAATAATATAGCATTAGTCCTTAAATCAATAAAATTTGGTCAAATGCAGTGAAACCCACTCCCACTGACCCAGCCATCGTAAATAAAACAAACTTAAAAATACGAAATATTTAATAAATCTGAAGAATGGAATTTAAAACATAGCGTCTACTTCGTCAACTATTTCACCCATGTCTGCTTGGTGAAGGATGGACTGGGAAGGGAAGAAAGAATGATTGGCCTAGGGGCCGAACCGCCTGTCCCCTGTGCAGTAGGAAAGGTAAAACGTGAAGAACTTTACGATTTGTGGCACTTATCACTAAAAAGTTCTATATTTACATCCCCACCAATTTTTTGCATGTGGGATGTATGTAAGGACCAGGAGGGAAATGTGAGGGGACGGAGAACCGGCTTAAGGGCCGATCTCAGTGTCACCGCTCCTGTGAGTTAGCTATAATTGAGGGAAGGGGTTTTTATACTTTTCATTTGAAATTGAGTATTTCTTTCCCCACCAATTGCCCCCAGGTGTGTCTCATGTGCCGGGGGAGGTGTGTCATGGGATGCGCGGAGTAGCATAATGTCTTATCTCATTGTCTCAGTCCCTGATCGTTCAAGCGTCAGTAAAATGTTTACATTTTTGACCACTCACGTTTGCGCATACGTATACATTCTACACATAACACGTTAACTTTATTTTTACCATCACGACTATCCAGACACGATAACACAAAGTTTTCGTCTCAGGGACGCTCAAAATAGTATGAATGAGAATATTTAAATGGGTGAAGGGTTATTATTGTTCATTGTTTTGCTTTCATTACTATGGCAAAGTGCTACGTATATTTTGTTTGATTTAAACTGAAGAGAATCAAATTATAATGTTTTATTGATTTGAAAACAGGTGTTATTATTACGTTAATTTTTGCAATCGCGACTCCGTATTGACGGTCATGATAACACACGAAACAAATTTCTTACAACTTCGGCAAATAAACAGGGCGGTGTAATTTATTTAAAGTAAATAAATTAAATTTCGAAGGATAAGAGTTGGAAGTTAGTAGTAAATAAATACCCAGTTAGTATGAGTAAGATCCGCCAGATATAGTAGTTCTTCTGTTTTTGACGTCCTTCAATTTTTTCGTATTGATAATGTAAATAGGGGAACCACAAAAGTTACAAAAGTTATTCAAAAATCATTCAATTTGTAATGCAGAGTTCACAAACGGGTATTGAGATTGAGATTACAAACTCAACAACTAGAGGAGTACAACAGCACATACTTCCTCGCATTATTTATATCTGTTCCAATTTTCGAAAATTCACAACATTCAACAAAATTCAGATCTGCACAACTTTTAAGGGTTCTTTAAACAGAAATTACGTCAAAAGTACTATTTTCTTTAAAAAATTCCACATGTCTTTTTCAGACCTGAGTTTTTAGGACTTTTTTATTTAAAGACAAATATCTAAAGTCAATATTGCACTTTCGCAATAATAATTTCTTGTAATTTTCGAAAATACTGAGATTCTGCCGAAAATGGGACAAGCGCCAATTTTTACCGTTATTTTATACATGTAAGGAGGAAATTAAATGACAAAATTGGAGAAGTTTTGAAAAAATAATTATTTTAAAATTGCGTATGTTTCATGGAAAATTATTCGAACACTTCATTTTTTTAAATAAATTGCAAATGATCTTATTTGAAAAAAAGGTTTTTGAACAAACTCATTGCATTCAGAAAAACATCTTTATCTTCAATAATGTAATTGTAGGAAGACGCTGACAAAATATGAACATTTGCTATTTTCAACGGACGCTATTTTAGACAGACGGACAGACAAAACATATATTTCGATTACACAATGAGTTAGAGCAAGTAATTTACTATACAGAGGAACATGATTTATCTACTTTTTCATTGCTCGAGCCTGGCCTTGAACCATTTGCTTGGATGTTAATTTAAACGAGTTGAACGTTGATTGCTATAATTCTTTAATTTCAATTATCCATTTTCGAAAAATCAAGAATCCTTTGTAATCTTTTTATAACAACCCTTAATATAATAAATATCATTACCAAATTGGACATCCAATGGCGAAGTAAATCATCAACATCCGGTGTGGACGTACCAAGTTGTAGAATCCATCGCGCTCCCTCGGCTGTTTTGTCATCTAAAACATGAGAGAGTCACTTTTTGACCTGATGAATCAAGAAAAAAAAACGATGTACTCAAAAAGTCTGTTTTGTAAGCTTAAGTAAAACATTATTCAGTTGTGCTTAATACTTCAATACTAAATCACTACTGCCAAAATTACCACTACCACTATTAATATTACTAACAGAAGTACTACCACTACTACCATAGCCATCACTATCATTACGACCTTTAGCACTAGCACTAACATAATTACTAGCATTACAATTACTACTACGGGCAGTGGTGCTGGATATTGGAGTTAGCTCATAGGGTAAAACACAGAGGAAGTTTTTGTAATTTTCTCAAAATTCTTCGGCTACAGTACAAATTTATTACGTGAAACGCAATGGACAATCAGCATACCTCTTTTTAAATAAGTTCCTTGCCCAAAATGACCAATTTTTAATTTGTTCCATTTTTATAGATTTATTTCTAGACCCTGATTTAGAGGTGTGAAGTGGCCATTTTCGAATGGCAATGGGTAGACACTTGACTCAATAATGGCCAACCGATTCTACCCTCTGAACGACACTGAAACCAAAAAGTTCAGAAAGTACCGATTCCTATTACATTATTACAATGTCAATATTATCAAGACATTTTCAGCTTCCTTAAATATAAAATACAGGAAATTAACAAAAATATATTTGTTATAATCTTCGCCATCCTGACACAGTGGGCACAACTGGTGACGTTACTCTAGAGTTAGGAGTCCATACGGAGACAAATTCGAAAATTCCAAAGAATAAAACTCGTGGAGAGGGTGGGTTAACGTACAAACTCAAATTTCCAAAGTCTGGGCGTTTGACAACAGCAACAAACAACGCACAGCCCGGGGCCGGGGCTGTTTTAATGTAAATACTTATTTTTTGTGTTTCTACTTACCGTCTAAAATTTGTGATGTTGACAAATCTATAAATAATATTGCTATTTTCACAAACTATTTTTTTACTCTATCAATTTGTTTTAGATTTTATTACATATATCTTATGAAAAGAAGTATTTCCAAAAAGAACATTTTTCCTTCATTACTACTACGTGCCACCTGCTCTCCACTCCAGGTGAAGACTACGTGAAGACGCGTGAGGTTCTCACAGCCTGGCGCGACTATCTCGGTTATCTCAGAGACCAGTGCTCGTCATCGACTGGGACATTTTCACCTTTAGGTGTGGAAAGTAAAATAAAATTACAAAAGTAAGCCATCGTTTCGTGACTAGTAACCTTAATTTCCGAGAAACTTTGGCGATCTCAGACGTATAACATTTCTCTGAGAGAGCTGAACGCTGCAGTGATTGCTGGCCATAGATCGTTTTGTTCGATGGTTTGTACGATGTCTTCTATTGCGTCGTCTGGCTACAGAACAACGGTCCTGGATCGTAATAAATAAAGCTTTCACTACTAACGGGAAAAAATGTAAGGTGCAAAGTGTGCCTCGCCGGTCCGGATGGCTGAGAGCGCAATGGCAGTAGTGCCGCAGCGATCTCGGACCGAAGGATCGCGTGTTCAAGTCCCGATTCGGGTATGGTTGCATCGTGTTCGTCCTTTCATCACCCACATCATCATCATATCGTGTCATCATCACAGTTACCATACCGTTACACACAACAGTGGTCGCTAATGACATAGAAGTTGATGCGACTTTAAATAACAAAACAAATGTGTGCCTCAACGTGCTGTTTCCAGCTCATTTATTGTAGAATCACGATCATTGAAGAATAAGAAAATAAAATTGATTCACAGAATTGGTCATTGAGGGTAAAGAAACAATTAGTTTTGCCAACGTTTCGAAATATTTAATTTCTTTGTTTGTTGTTCTCATGCAGTGTTCATTTGTTGTTTTTTTTATACTCTATCCCTGATGAAGAAAATAAATATTTCGAAACGTTGGCACAACTAATTGTTTCTTTCCCCATAATGATCAATTCCGTGAACCAATTTTATTTGATTGATTTTTAACACGTTTTGATTATTTTAAAACTTTTGTTTAGGAAATTTTGTATAAACCTAATTTTGTATTATTATAAATGTGTTTTCTAATTAGTGTATTTTAATATTCCATATTACACCCGATTTTAAATATTTATTTCACATTCTTACTGTTTCAATAGTTACTTACGAATATATTTTGACGTTTAATTCCACACACATCCCGGTCTGTGCCTACCTTCCAGAGTGAAGTCGTGCAGCGCGTGCGTGGGGCCGCGGCTGCGCAGCCAGCGGAAGTGGCCGCCCGCCTCGTAGCTCAGCCAGTGCGCGGGGCGGGACGGGTTTTGGGCGCAGAACGCCTCCCAGTCGCTCTGCAAGGGAAACGCACGGCTTTGTAACGGTCTTCAAAAACGGAGTTCACACAAACGAAGTATTGAACATGTATATTTCATATAAGTACTAATGGATCCGGCAATGCTTCGCTGCTGCAATGTATTACACTTCACATGCCACAGGTGTTATGTCCCAAGGTACAGACGGTGCGTAGTACGCCATGTACCCCAGAGCGAGAGAGGGCTTACGCTTTCAATTCAAATAAATGACATGGCGTCCTCCCGATAAAGTTGTATTTTGGGATCGGAGGAAGAGGCGCCTTCTGTGACCCCAGTAAGTTACCGGATAGGGTTTGGAATATTCCGTCGATACTGAAGCCTGCCCCTTTGGCCTACACATAATTCTAATGGTCACTTCAACCTTTCACCCTTTGTGATATCTCGAGTTCCCTCGCCTGAGGCGCACATCCCCTTCCATGACAAAGGCCACCCGGAGCGCGCTTGCTCCAACTGGCAATGCCAAGTGTTACCCCCTCTCCAACCTCTATCTGGAAGCAGAAGTCGGGGTAGAGCGTAAATAGTTGTAAGAAAACACTGTATGCCGTTCACTACCGTTTTGACTTTACATTAGAAATTTGTATTACTCTGTATATTTCGCTTCTGTAATAAACTTAGTGTGTTGTTACTCTCTGAGTTTCATTTCACCAAGTCTGTTTGGAGAATCTGTCGACTAGCCATCGACATTATTTAACTCTGTTACGTCATTGTTAATGACATTTTACGCTACGCTCTGCAAAAATTTCAATACACGACAGCCTTTTTCGCGAGTATGGTTCGGTCTCTGTCTCTCTCTCTCTCTCACTCTGTTTCTGTTTGTTTCTATTTCTGAGTCTCTGTCTTCCTCTGTTTCTCTCTGTATCTCCCTCTCCAGGAAGAAATTTCACAACCGCAGGAGCAGAATACGTAATGAATACGTGACCTTCGCCGTCCCATCAGCGGCGGGGGCGGCGGCGCTGGGCCACAAGTGCATCGCGCGTGCAGGTCGGACACCTCGGCAGTCGTAAACCCGGGCACTGCACCAGTACGCCAACGGGCAGTCGGCGCTCGTCGGTAGAGTTAAATCGGAAAAAGCTCCCCCAGCAGAATTATCGTGTGCTATTACGTGACGTGTATCGCATACACACGGCGGTTTAATATAAAATCAAGGGCTCTATACTTAGGTTCAATCGATGTAAGAATTCGCTAAGTTGAGGGTATTCACTCGCACATTCCCAAGTCAATGGCAGGGCTCCTCGTACCGTGCGACAGCCTACCTCCTGCAGTTACACGGCGCCGTGAAGGCGTGGGTTCCTCATTGATGCGCGCCTGGTCACCCTGCCGCCTCCTGCATCACCGTCACCACCACAACCCTTCTGCCTCCATCAACGGGGCGCTGGGCTTCATGAGTGGACGCGCTTGCAAGACGGCGAGCTCGCCTGCGCCCAGCAGCGCGTGCACTAGCAGGCCGCCTTTCAGCTGGCGCTTATCGACACGGTTAAATCGGAAAACAGTTCTCCACCAGAATGATCGTGTGTCATCACATGACTTGAATGTGTACGCAGATCAGGATTAATAGACCTTCACGGAATCTTAGGTACAATGGATGCCCATAAAAAAATAGCCAATGTGACGGTATTGACTTGAGAATTTCCAAGTCAACGACAGGGCTCCTCGTATCGTGCAACGATCTACTTCTTGCAGTTGCTTGGCGGCGTGAAAACATCGGTCCTTCATTGAAGATCACCTGGCAGCCCTGCACTCTCCTCACCTGCGCATGTCCTAGTCAACGGCAGGACTCCTAACGCGTGACGGCATACCTCTTGCAGTTCCTTGGCGGCGTGAAAGCGCGGGTCCCTCATGGGCGCGCGCCTAGCTGCCCGGCCTCCACCTCCGTCCCCGCCGCCTCCGCCCGCCGCTCCGTCTTCCGCGGCGCCGGGCCTCAAGAGCGGGCGCGCGTAGAGGGCGGAGAGCTCGTCGGCGCCCAGCCCCTCCACCAGCACGCCGTCGGGCAGCTGGCGCGGGTCGAGCAGGAACAGCTCGTTGTGCAGGTGCACGCGCGCCTCGCAGCGCCGCGCCAGGAAGTGCGCGCACTCGGCCGGCGGCGCCGCGCCCACGCACGGGGCAGCTGCCGCCCCCGCGCCGGGCGGTGCCGCTGGCGACGACGCCAGCAGCAGCGCGCACATCTCCGACGGGGGCAGCCACTGCGCCAGCGCCGACGCGCCGCACAGCTCGCGAAGCGCCACCGGCTGGCCCTGCGGCAGATTAAGGTGGCGCCACTCAGCGGCGCTTCCGAGTGGCGCGTCTGCTGGCAAAGCATTGGTTTAAAAGTGGGGTCACACTAGCGGTGCAGATGAACCGCTGTGGCGGTTAGTGGCGCTTTCTCCGCCAACAGCAGTACAAACGCACATCCGCGCCACCGCCAGCAAGAGAGTTTTAATTGGCAGCCTTCACAGTAGGCGGAGGCGTCACTCAGTTTAAATCCCCATTACACAGAAACACCCAGTAGCGTTTCCGAGTGGCACGTCTGCTGGCCTAACATTGCTTTATATAGGGGTATTCAATCTAGCGGCGAAGAGGCAATGCTGTGGCTGTTAGTGGCGCTCTCCCCGACAACAGCGGCACATACGCACATCCGCGCAATCGACAGCAAGCGGATCAACCAGGCAGCACAGCCGAAGCAGATACACGAACTCTTAAGCGACACGCTGTGGAAGAATTCATACGTGTAATCCCTTATAAATTGTTGTGGAAGAATCCATAGCTCACAAAAATACATTTTGCAAGGACAATTTTAAGGCGCGATGGTCTAGCAACGTCAGTGTCGTCTGAGAATCGACATCCGTATCACATATGGGAGAAGTTGCATTTGAAAACTGTAGCAAATGCAATATCACTGTAAATATTCATGAGGGAAGCAGGAGACCTTGTACTATTTTTGTTATATTGATACTAAAGTTGAGTTTTTAGAGAGAAGAATATTATTTTATACGACTAAATAATGGTTGCTAGACGACCGTTATTTAACTATGAACAAGATTATTTCGTTCTATGTAGTAAGTGACAATTTTAGCATTTGATAATCCAACGATAAACAAAAAAATTAATGTTGTAAGTTAAGTAAGTTATTAAGCATTTATTTAAAAAATGGAAAATAAATTAATGCCAAGATTCATTTCTGTCACCAAAACCTTTAAAAAGTCGCCAATTTGGGGACAAATAGTCAATACATGCAACACTAGGGAGCGTGGCGCTTTGACTTCGTCACCGGCAAGCGTGACCGGCACTCAACTGGAATTTTTGATTAATTAATATTAGTGATTCCGAGGGCATCAATTGCTAAGGTCATTAGTCCCGTAAGTGTATTGCATTTTTTATTCCGGGAGGAGGCAATGATCTCTGTGGATGACGAGATTCGGCGCCGACCTACCAACGGCAAGCAGGGCTTTCCCATACAAGGTATTTCACCAGTCGAGCACCACCCCTGACAGGACAAGCTCTAAGCTCCAGACCGGTCTCCCGGCATGTCTGATAGTGGAGTGCATGGTAGAGAAGTGTGTAAGTATGGAGTGAGGAGAGGACAAGGAAGAGGCATGAAAGATCCTGCGCGTTCCGTGGCCCGTTTGTTAGAGTACTGCTCTGGCATTTGCCTGGTGTTGATCGGAGCAACCACGGAACACTACCAATGAGAGCAGCCGCCCGTTCTCCTCCAGACAGCGACTGAACTCGTCCTAGGTGTCGAAAACGCTGCCACTGTCGAGAGCGGAGGCCAGAGCCCCAGTTGCAGAGCCCTCCGGCGGACGCACCTGGAAGACGACGCGCGTGTCGAGCAGGGCGTCCTGCGCGGGCGCCTCCAGGTCGGCGATGGACAGGCGGCGCCGCGCCACGCGCAGCTCCCGCGACGCCAGCGCGCGCCGCAGCGCCGCCA